GTGGAATCAGACAGTATTCGTCCTTTTGTGACTGGCTTGTTACATTTAGCATAATGTCATCAAGGTTCGTCCATATTGTAGCATATGCTGAATAATATTCCATTGTATGTATAGTTTGTTTATCTCTTCATCTGTAGACATTTGGGTCGCCTCCATCGTTTGGCTATTGTGAATAACGCAGCTGTGAACGTAACATTCTGCCATTCTTGCCCCAGCCGTACCCTCGTCCACTCCCCACCTCTCACGGGGCTGTTAGTATTTCAGAGGCGTGAGGGCACTGCCGGACAGGGAGTTGGTGGCACTCAGGGCCGCAGTGGGGTGAGCGCAGGGGCTGTGGGGCCCAGAGCAGGGGCACCTCACCCGGCCCAAAGCAGGGAGAAGACGAGTGGAGCGTCCCAGGGCAGCTGTCCCCACGTGCACCCTTGACTTCCGGAGAGTGCAGGCGTGGGAGGGCTCCCTGGCAGAAGGCACAGTACGGGCACATAGTAGGTGTTTTTTAAATGTTTGAATGGATGACTCTTCCAAAATTAGCTTTTTTTAAAAAACAAGGTCCATAAAGTGAGAACACCTTTTTATTTTTCTGAGATTCAATGTGCACATAAAATTTTGATAAAAATTAAATTTGTGAAGGAAAATAAAAATTTAATACTTTAAAGTATAGATCAGCAGATCAAGGAAAGTTGCTGAACAATCTGATGGGAGATTTTATTTTTTTATGCCAGTATCCTCAATGCTGTGGGTAAAATCTATTTATTTCTGGAGAATTAAAAAAAAAACAAAACTTTGGAATCACCAACTTCACCTGTTAACAAAGATTGACTCACTAGTAATGGAATTTTCAATTGATTGCATTTGTCAAGAAGATAGCCCAAGAGTAAAATTTGTCTCTCTGTAACAAAGTCCTTGATAGGGTTAAGCAGCTGTGTTCAACTGTCCTCCAGGTCAGGGATGGAAAACTCTACTAATGTGATCTGAGCTTGAATGCTCACAGCCTGACTTCCCTGAATTAATGTCACTATCAGCCAGTGGCTCCACCTCCTAGAGGGTCACCTAAGAAGACAAAAGGTTTAATCAGCCTAACAGGAGAGCTAAATCAGCACTTCTTACAAAGGAGGGCATTAACAAGACATCTTGCCTGAGTCCTCTCACTGCGGAGAGTGGAGTGGCACGGCCACCTCAACTGCAGGAGGGGCTGGACAAGCTGGCGCAGGTGGCTTGGCATCCTGGAGTTGGCCCTGTGGCAGAAAGGTCCTCCACACAGGCTTGCCTGCTCCCAGAAGCTGTTTGTCTCTGAGTGGCTGGCACTCTGAGTGTCCAGCAGGAGAATCTGAGGGGTTCCACTTTCATAAAGACCTCTCTTGCTCTCCAGCAGGTGCCTGAGGGCAAGCAGAGCTGAGGTTAGAGAAATCCGAGTCTACGGTGGTCACGTCGTTGGCATCCAGGCTTTGGACGCCACTAGGCTAGAAAACCCTGGTTCTGCCGTTTATCGGTGATATGACCTTGGACAGGTCACTGTGCCTCAGTTATTCTGTAAAGATTAGATGAAATGTTAATTGCTGTCCTTTTCTTAGAAGGTGAATAGCTCCAGGGAAATGAGGCTTTGGTGCCTGTCACCATGCAGACCTTTATCCAGGGCCCTGGGAGACAGTGTCACTGCCTTTCAGCAGGACTGGGACAAAACAGTGCCCTTAGTGGGTGGGATTTGCTCACCTAACTCCTATTCACCCTTCCAGGCTCCGCTGTCACGTGCCCACGTGTCACAGTTCCTGACCTCCTGCCCCCCACCCAGCAGCACCGCACTGGGTGCTAGTGCCCGGCTCCCTGTCAGCTGACACTGCCAAAGCCGTTCCTCAAGCTCTTTGCAGAAGACATGTCCACTGTCACATTTCCCCTGATCTCTTCATCGTACCCATGTCCCTTTGTCTGTTTTTATGACACAGAGATCTGACCCAGTAAGAAGACAACAGGCCTAAAATGCCCCTGTGTCCCTGAAGGTGAGACTCCCTCTGCTCTCCTGCAGCTAAATCCTGCCTCAGGCTGCCCTCGCCTCTAGCCCTGGCTGCAGACTCTCTTGAATTCATTGATTCCTCAACAGATTTCTCCTTCCTGGCAGTGCTGGGTCCAAACTCCAGGAGTGAATGCTAACAATTCAGTGAGCTTTCCCTCAGCAGCTCTGAATTCCCCCGACCAAGTGTCACTACCTGGCATTGTGCTCGGAGATCTCCTTCCCCATCGGGCGAATGGTGTCTCAGCCCCTCCAGGACCTCAGGGCTCCTGTGACAGGAACCAGAGTCAAGTTCATTCTGCAGTTCTTTAACCCACATCCATGGGGCTGGCTCTGCACTGTCCCCAGGGACTGTAGAGATGAGCCCAGCAGGGCCAATGCCCTCTTGAGCTCCTGGTCACAGGGGACACCAGTGCACATTTCCCAGCACCCAGGAGTGCATAAGGTACTGTGGGAGCATCAAGCAGGCGTGAGTGACTATAGCAAAAGACTTGTGCTTACAAGAAGGATATGCAGGTGGAAGGAGTAGGAAGGGGAAGAGCAGGGAAGAAAGTGGTAAAGAACATGATATGTGATTCGGAGGTGCTCTGGGAGCATAAGGTACGTCGGGGAGCAGCAGAAAGGGACACAGAAGGACTCTAGAAAGAAAGCAAGGGTCCACTTAGGAAACGTTTGTTTGCCAAGCTAAAGAGCTAGGACTTTTTCTTTCCTCTCCCACCCAGGACCCCATATATGTGAAACACATGTTGCTAGGTGTGCGGTGTTGAGCAAAACAGGTACCATTCCTGCCCACATGAAATATATAATCTAGTGGAAGAAGCAAACAGTAATCAGATAATCAAACAAATATATTATCTTTGCAACCAGAATTCTTGAGTAGAACAGTGACATGCTACAATTGGCATTTTTGCCTGAAGGATTGGAGTTACTGGGAGGAATGAAACAGGAAAGGGACATCGAGTTAAACCTCCGCACTGCAGTCAGGCCTGTGCCAGAGGCATGGGGCGGAGAGCAGGGACAAAGCTAAGACATTTCACTGGTAACACGGGAAGGACTAGGGGAGGTCTCATAGGTCTGCCGTGGGTAGCTATGGATAATGGTAAGGAAGAAAGAGCCCTGGCCAGGTAGCTCGTTGGTTAGAGCATCGTCCCGATACACCAAGGTTGTGGGTTTGATCCTTGGTCAGGGCACATACAGGCATCAGCCAGTGAATGCATAAATAGGTGGAACAGCAAATCTGTTATCTCCCTCTCTCTCTCATCAATAAAAAATAATAAAGAGAAACAGATTTGGGGTGCGATCCAATGGGGTAATAGTTGGAAGGTCAGGCCATTTTGAGTTTGAAGTGCTAGTCGGCCACCCAGGCGGGGACGGTGACATAGGTTTGGAGCTCACGAAAGATGTCTGAGCTGACGGTACCCATCAGGGGTCATTCAGTGTTGAGTTGCACTGTGCTCACGGAGATCACAACTCGGTTGTCCTGCGCTGGTCCCAAGGGTGAGAAGCAAAACTTCAGGCCACAGGAATGGCATTCCGCTGGGCTTCTGTTGGTTATCACTAGCTGATCTCTAGATCTCTAGCAAGGAAGGTGTAAAGCCATGCCAAGTAATAAATGGCTTGAAAACTCTTTTCCCTTAGGAACTGGTGCTTTTTTTTCTCTTAAACGGTGTAAAGTGGCATGAGAATTCTGTGTTTTCCCTAAGGAATTGGTATACTTTTTTTTTCTCATAGACAATGTAAAATCTGCATTGTTTTCCTTCTTGCTTCAACAGCCAGGAAGCTCAGAACGAATTTGGTAACAATTTTAGAAATCATGTAGGTCCTGTGTATCTAGATACTCTTTTACCAAATAATTACATTTTATATATTTATATCTATTCCAGGTCTTCTTTCTTTGTTCTGTGCGCTCATGTAAGCTGCCTCATATCCTTTGTAAAGTTAGAAGTGTAACAGTATAAAAATAAATACTCCCCCTCACCCTAACTTTTTCGGGTCATCTTGCCCCCGTTGTGCAGTAAGTCTGCCCAGGTGCTGGGCTAATATTGGCTAAATTTAAGCAGGAGGGACTCTTGGAATTTACAGCAGCTAGACAGCAATTTTAACACTTACGTAACTCATTAAAACAGGATAAAAGTGGAGCTTCAAACATCTCTTGTTTGCCACCAAGTCTGTGAAGCAAGGGGTACCTTTAATTCAGTTCAAGACAGAAAAGTCTGATCTTCCAGAATTAAGAATACACCGCTAAAATTAAAGACTTGTCTGGTAGATGAGCACTCTGGATGCCTTCAAAGGAGGATAGAGGTGTTGACTACAAGATGGCATGTTTTTTAAGCTTAGGGTGTCATTTTTTTTGACTCATAAAAATGTTGTTTGGTAAAAGCAAACTTCCTTATCAAACAGCATAAACACAAAATTGACTGGATGGTAAATTTTATTTTTTATCATCCCTGCTTTTTGTATAAATAATTCTTTAGAAATTGTAATTTGCTCTAGGTTAAGATCACTGGGTAAGTGGTTTTCAAATCGTGTTCCCCAGTTTGTGCCTTAGCAACTGCTAAGGCACAGGAAGTCGGGGTAGGGGAGGGAGAGGGAAGACCTCCATGCACGGAGAGCCCAGCCACCACCCCAGCACCCACCAGAGCAGCTGGCTGTTTCATGTAGCAGGGCTCCTTCTGCTTAAGGTGCTGTCTGAGACAGTTTCTCCCATTGGAGGGCCCATCCACTGACTTGCTGTTGGGATACGGAAGGGGGTGGGGTGGGGTCCAGCCTTTGGTTCCCACTCCTCTGCCCACCAGCTCTGTGACTTTGCAGAATGACTTTCTCTCTGACACAGCTTCCTAAGCCGAAGTCCAGGATGCCATCGTTGATAATAGCCACTTTACCAGGTAGAGGAGGATCTAATTAGCTGACGTAGAAGCGCTACTTAGTGGAGTTTAAGAACTGACCCCTCGTACTCCATGCTTCTCACCATCCTCTCCCCTTCTCCACTTCCCAGGGGGAGCCAATCACCTTCTGCGAGGAAGCCTTCGTGTCCCACTATCGCTCTGGAGCCATGAGGCAGTTCCTGCAGAATGCCACACAGCTGCAGCTCTTCAAACAGGTGCCTAGCCTCCCTGGCCCGGCCTGCATCTGGTCCCCTGGCGGGGCCTTCTGTGGCTGTCCTGGCTGAGCACGGAGGCGGCGAGTGGGGGGCTGGGCGAGGAGGGTGCTCGGCACCCAGGCAGACCCTTGCAAGTATGCCCTGAGGTTCTGCAGGCCATCTTAGCCGTGCAGCCCAATTTCAGAAACTCACAGTTCCAGAGGCCCTTTTCTGTCTTGGCAAATGTGGCATTTCTTTGGTCATACGCTAAGGTGCCAGCTGAATGCTGTTCTGTCTTGTTTCTTTGTGTACACTATTATGTTTTTGTTCTTTCTTTCCGTAGTTTATCGATGGTAGATTAGACCTTCTCAATTCTGGCGAAGGTTTCAGTGATGTTTTTGAAGAGGAAATCAACATGGGCGAGTATGCTGGTGAGAAGCGTCTCATTTTCCTTTCTGTGCTGAGGGCTGTTATGTGGGATTAGGGTATGTTTGGCAAGGAGTGGCAGTGACTTCTTGTTTCCTTCACTGGGAGTTACGGAGAAAGTGATTTCAACACTGGCCTTGAATTGCTTGAGGAATTCCTCTTCGTTTTCTGATGAGATGCACGTTGGCCCATCTGAAATCCTCTGTGCTGGGGTCAGTTACTTCCCTGGGATTGGACTTAGCGGGGAGTCAGCTTAAACACAACAGCCAGCATGGTGCAGTGTAGGAGACCTAGGTTCAGGTCAGGACTCTGCCACCTTGCTAACGGTGAGATCCCGGTCAAGTCATTTCAGCTCTTTCAGCTGCAGTGTTTCTATCTCTGCTCTGAGAGGGACAGTGCCTGCCTCATAGGGTTCCTGTTACAATTACATCAGAGTCCATGAGGGAAGGTTTGTGCGGTCAGTCACCCGGGACAGACCCTGGCACAGGCTCACTGCTCAGCAAATGTTTCTTTAAATATGAAAGCAGTGCAGAGTGCCCGGTCTCTAGCTGCCTTTAAAACTAAAGGGATCATCCTCTCACGTTTCGGGGGCGGGGGGGAGGGTGGCATCTGAGGACCAGAGAAGTGTTAGTGGCTCGCACTACCTTCTGAATCCCCACTCAGCATCCTTTCCAAAACCCCAAGCCTCAGTCTTTGGCAGCAAAAACTAAACTAAAAGCAAGACGATGATCATCATACTGTTGGCCTCCTTTTATTTTTATGGCTGGGCATGTGTCTGGTGTGGACTGTGCTGATAACCCAGCTGGCCATCCATAAACTCATAGAGTCAGGCAAAGTGTCGCCTGCAAAACCCCTTTCACAGGCCCACCTGGCCTGTGCTACAGGGAGAGCTGATCAGTTAAACCCATGTGTGAGTCCCACGGTCACAGTGGATCACTGATGACACGTCCTGAGCGCCTGCTGTGTCCAGAGCCCTGTAGAGTAGGAGATGGAGGGCCCAGTTCCGCCCTCAGACTGGTAGGAGAAAGAGATGCATAGCTAAAGACAAATGCACATCAAGCCAATGCAGGAAAAGGAGTAGAAATAGGTTTTTGTGCAATTAGAATGGAGCTCTGAATTCTCACTGTGTAACAGGAGAGCTTCACAAAGGCAGTTTTGAGTAGTTCCGACAGTTGACTATCTGACCTTAGAAGATGGGCCTTATATGTTGCTCAAGTAAGTCAGATCATTCAGAATGTCTAGAAAAGCTGTTTACTGACAAGACCTCCTTACCCCACCAGATAAAATGAACCCACTCCCCAACAGCACCTCCTTTTTCTTTCCCCGCCACCACTCAGGAGCGTCAAGCACTGAATGTGTGGCCAGCAGTGCGCTTGCACTGGGACAGCAGCCCAGTGTTTCCTGCCCCAGGGTGGCTCACAGGGCTCCAGAGAACAGGGACTTCTGAGCGTTACCCACTGTAGAGGGCTGTCCCGGTGAAGGAAGCTTACAGCGGAAATGGCATCAGAGCCGGTGGTGGTGTGTACTGAGCCGGCAAGTAGGGAGCAGAGTAGGGAACAATGACCAGGCAAGGGGAAGGGCACTTAGGAGGAATGGAGGACCACAAGGACGTCGTAGCCAGGGAGCCCCAGGCAGTTCCTCTGAGTGGAGAGGAGGGTCCTGGAAGACGGCAGCACAGGATGGAGTGGCAAGGCGAGGCACTGAGCTGAGGGGTCTGCCCTCTCTTCAGTACGCACTGAGGAAGGCCATGGTTTGTACCCCGGCACTGATGGGATCAGATCCCTGTTTGGGAGGAAAAAGCTGTGGCGGCAGCTGGCTGCTGCCTCCTTCAGGGCCTGGGGCATGGGCGCCTCCGTGTTCTCCAGATTTTGAACTTTCCAAGGCCTGCATGCTGAAAGCAACTGGGAAGGTCCTGAGTGCACACAGCTACTTTAAATGACAGCTTCTCTGCCTCCTCTCCCCCCAGGCAGCGATAAACTGTACCACCAGTGGCTCTCCACAGTCCGGGTAAGTGTGCGCCCCTCCGAGCAGCGGGGCCCCTCCTTAGCCTCCTGGCAGCCCTGTGCTTCCCGGCCACCCACAGGGCTGTCATTCAGCCTGGGGCACTCCTCTCTGTCAGCTGAAGACAGCTTTTGTTTGTAAAGCCAGGTGGAGACGGGCAGGATGAGACTGTCCAAAGCCATCTCCCGGTGCGGGTGAGGAGAGCCAGGAGAGGCTTCCTCATCCCAGGACGGCGGCCAAGGCGTGTCAAATGGATGTCATCATCTTAGAACATTTCTAGGTATCTGTTTGTAGCGCTAGTGCAACTGGAAAATTTTCATGGGAAAACCAAAAACACATCCCTCTTGCTGTGTTGTTTTTCACAGCCAAGGCTCCTGGGAAGATGGAGAGCACATCACTGGGAGGCCTCTTCATCCCCTCACTGTTGCTGTGAATGGCTTCTTGTCATGTTAGAAGCCAGGTGCTTAGGGCTTCAGGAGCCACTGAAGAATTCAGATTCTTGCCTTTCCCTTGCACAGCTTTATCAGTGAGTGTGTGCTGAAGGCCTACGTGCCTGGCGCCACACTGGAGCCAGGACTCAGTGGGGAGCAGACACAGGCCCTGCTCCGGGGGAGCCCCCCAGCTTGTTCAGGAGGCAGGCACGTAAACAGGCACCTCCAGCATAATGTGATAAGTGTTCTCCCCCTGCTTGTGGGCCAAGTGCACTGCTGCCAAGGCGGGTCCCTTGGAAGTGGCTGCAGTTGGCCGATAGAAAGGAGTGCCTCAGTGAAAGGCTTCTTTTGTTCTTCTGGTACGGCCAAACGGGGCACTTGGCAAATCATAGGCAAGCAATAAGAACTTGTTGATTGATTGATAAAGAGAGTTTACTATTCCAAAGGACCATTGAAATTGAATACTGAGTAATTTTGGAAAGCAGAATGGAATAAATGAGTAGGTGAAAATTTCATATTGTCCTGCAACATAGAATGCTTTCTAGGTTAAATTGTGATGTTTTTAATTAAAGCTCAAAATTTCTAATATGGGAAGTCACCAAAAATTATGCTAAAAGTTAATCCCAATAACTACATTATCTCATTCTTTTATATATCCACTGGATGCAGCCTCTCTCTCTCTGCTCAAATCAGTTGGAATTATCTTTTGAAACCACTACAGATCTGATTATGTGATACATTTGATTAAAAATCCTAGAGTGTAGGCTCCTGATCCTGGCCCTTTGGGAGCTGACCCCATCTGGCCTCTCAGCCCCATTTGCCATCCCTCCCGTGACATACTCACTGCTTGTTACTCACAGGCACACCATGGCTTTCCAGCTTCTGTACTTTTGTACGTGCTATATCCTATCCCAAGGGTGTTCTTACCCTTCCTCCTGGAACTTCATGGACCAGGCCAAATGTTTCATCCACTAAAGCCTTCTCCGACCTTCCAAACGATGAGCTGCCTCCACACTCCTGTGCACACAGCTCCCATCACCTTAGCTTGTGGTTACTTACCCTGGTGTGCCCCACGGACTGAGGCCTTTGAAGCACATCCTGTGCTTCAGTAGCCTCAGAGCCTGGCACAGGGCATCCCCTCGGTGCGCCCCCCAGCGCCTGGGCCTGTGTGCTTCATACCCACTCACTGCTTCCTGTGTGCTGGGAAAGCCTTCCCTCCTCTCCTCTCCTCCTCCTCCCCCTCTTCTTCCCCTGCTCTCTCTCCTAAAGAAACTGAACCAAGAAATCAGCCTGTTGGAGTCATACTAAAGCCATGACTAACATGTATGGCTATTCAATCTTTTCCTTGCTCAAGATATAGGTGTTAAGGAAGACAGCCTACCAGAGTGATTAGAAAATAACACAGGGAGAGCAAAGGAAGGTACGAGGGTGAGGGTAGGCAGCCTGTTTCCAGAGTAGCCAGATAAGCCTGGCTGATCAGGCCCCCACTTTTCTGCCCCCGCTTGGTATCAGCCACACGGTCCACTGTTATGAAGTGTACCTTAATGCTGTCCACAGTAACTAGACTGTCTCGAGAAGGTGAAGATTACTATGGGAAAGCCCTTGCCTCGGAGAGCCTATGATGGGCTTTCCTTCCAGCCCGCGGTCAGGTGCCAAGCAAAGTTCTGAGCCTCGAGTCCCCTCAGCTCATTATCACCATCCCCAGCCACCCTGCCCCCAGTACCCATAGTGATTCTGCCATGGCCATGACTAATTGCCTGGGACCAGTTACCATCCAGGCCTATTTCTCTAATTAAATTACACACCCTTGAAGTGTTGCTTAACTTGATTAAAGAGAAGAGGTCTTTGTTGGTGTTGGACTACTATATCTTCAGTCCAAATTGCTAATTGACATTTTTATTATAGAAAGGAAGTGGAGCAATCCTGAATACTGTGAAAACGAAAGCAAACCCGGCCATGAAGACTGTCTATAAGTTTGTAAGTACTGGTCTTGGTTTCAAGATCCAAACAGCTGTTCTTTAGCATGACGAGACTCTTAAATATGCCTGATCCTACATACAGAGATTATGCGCAGGCTGCTGTACTATTTCCTAAAGCTCTCAGTGCTCTCAGAGTTACCCAGCATTGATATTTTATGACCAGGTCAGTGACATTTTCAATTTAAAGGGTTTCTGCCTGCAGCTGCCACATGAGAGAAATGGGAGGCTACTGGTTTTAGCTTTTAAAACGTAGGCTGGGTGGCTAAATGCTGGCTGCCCCATGCCCGCGTCCCTGAGACCTGGAGACGCCGTCTCTCGGGTGTTCTAGCAAACCTTTCCTGACTATCCCCGTTATTATGTCAAAATAAAGCAGCTCCTTTGCAGGTTACCGAAGAGTGTTTATGGTGGGAGATACCCCCTAATTTTTGTTCCAAATTCTTCATCATATCTCATCACTGCCCTTCTAGGAAAATGCATGGTTATTGAACTCGTGCACACAGCAGAATGAAAATAGGAGAACACGTCAGCTCCCGATGCTTCATCTTGTACATCAAGTATTTGTTTCTCATGATTTCTCGTGCTTGCTGATTTGACTCTGAGCTACTTACCTGACGTGGTTTTGTTTTATTTCCATTTTTAATTTCGTTAGTCCTTTCTTTGCTTAAATTGCAGTTACCTTAACAGGGAAGGTGGCTGCCAACAGAACCACACGGGTCTAAAATGACAGAGAATGAAAGCCAGGGTGTCTGCCGGAATGAGATTTTAGAAATGGCCCTGGAGAAACCCAGTGATGTGTCCATTCAGGCCATTCAGCCGGACCAGAAAATTGGTCCTGAGGCCCTGCCCTGGTGACATGTAATAGATATTCTGAATCTTGCAGCCAGAAAAGCTACTGCCCAACTCTCACTGGTTGCTGTCACCAGGCTGCTGAGATAAATAATTATTATAGAGAGCAGCAGAAGGGCTTCAGGGGGCAGGGAGGGTGGGTGGGGGAGGAATCTGTGCCATCAAAATGCGGAAACTAAAATCTCTGTAGCCTCTTTAAGGGATTTTTTTTTTAACCTTTTAACGTTGTATTTGTTTTCATAGCCATTATGTTTTCAACTTGATGATCCCATTTTTCCTTTTTTTTTTATAGTAATCAGAGAAGGTGATTCACAACGGACTGAAATCAAGCATAGTCCCTGCTGGAAACAGAAAGGGAATCTTAACTTAAATTAATTTTTCATGCAGGCAAAAGATCATGCAAAAATGGGAATAAAAGAGGTGAAAAACCGCTTGAAGCAAAAGGTACTTGAAGTTCTTATTCAAAATGTATAAGTACCATGTATGAAACGCGTGGCCACAAAAAAGTATGATGTGATCAATAGAGGGCTGTTTGATACAGCGTGGTTAGCACACTTCAAAATGCATTACCAGCTGTCCGGGAGTTTTCACACTGTTATAAAAATATTCACAGACAAAAAAAAACTGTCTTCAAATAACATTAAGACTCTGGCTTAAACCCACAAAGGCAAGCAAGTTCAGAGTTAGCATTGTTGGTCTGTCCCTCGCCCACCCCACCAGTCCCAGGGTGCACCCAGGCCTGTAGAAATTGGTTCGGTGTCCCCTCTCAGCACCACCCCCTCCTACAGCCAGCCTGGGTCTGGTTGCAGCCAGAACCCTGAGCACCTCCAGAGAACTGACTGCTGCGGTTGCGCACGGCACAGACACAGGGCACAGAGGATGGGTTTCAGGAGGACACTGCAGGCGCTCCCCACAGTGGTGGTTTTAACCCAGAGGAGACCAGCATTTCATGTCTGAGACTCTTGGCGGGACAGGGAGAGGCTCTGACTGTCTTCTTGGACCATTGGTAAAATTGTACAAAATCATACAAGCTACATCCTGACTGAGAGTCCTCCGACCCGACTCTCTAGACGCGCAGGGAAGTTACTGTAACAGAAAGAGCATTTTCATATTATTATGAATGTCGACATCATTGCTATTGCGGCCACCCTTCATTAAGAGCTAAGGATGGTCCAGGCTAGGAGCTTTATATTTAATCCTTAGAACCACCCTGCAAGGTATTACTCCCATTTCATGTGTAGGAGACCACGGTTCAAAGGTGAAGTCATAGGCCCACATTATACTCCTTGAGCCTGGCCCAGCCAGGATTAGATTCCAGATCCATCTATGTCCAGCATCTCTGCTCTGACCACTACAATATTCGTACTGCCTTCCTGAAACAAGTGTTTTGTTTGCCAGAAGATGTTTGGAATCATTTCCTTCATTATCCCACACACCACAAATGTGCCACTCTAATAAGAGCCCTTGTCTATCTCGGCAGATTTTTAAAAACTGAAAGCAGTTTTAATTTTATGAAGTCAGAAAGGACCTCTAATTAACTTGAAATGGTCAAAGGAATTGATTCCTTTCTTTTAATTGCAAAATAATTTGCTCTGACTAAGCATTTAGTTTCTTAGTTTCAGCTGAGAGTGAATTTTTAGCAGCTGAAATTCAAGTCCTGAAATAAAAATCTTGTAATGTAAATCCAGAGAGACCTTAACTGTGGTCTGCTGCACCCTGCCAGAGACTGGCAGGTGGAATTCTTAAGGACCTAAATACACCTTTTTATCTCCTACCCCAGTCGCATGTAACTCAATTGGATTACAGGTATAAAATGGAGTGGCAGGGAGGGGAGAATTCTCTCACCTTATTTCCTTCTTAATGACTAGATCCCAGGCTCCGGCTGGTATTAGAATATTACTTGAAGTGAGCAAAGAAAGGGGTCCCGCCTCTGGCAGAGGACAGATGTGCCTTACTGGCCAGATCTGCTCTCCGCAGGCCATTGCCTCCCTCCTCATACGTGTGAGCATTAAGAAAATCCCCTTTTTGTGATATGTAACATTTCTGCAAATAACTGGTTACGCTCAAAGTTTTTGATGTTGTTGTTCAAACGTTCATTTAAACAATCTAGATCTCTCTCCTTCCATGCCTTCTCCCTGTCCTTCCTTTCCTTGATAGTGTCTGAGGCAGACTTTTTTTTTTTCTCCCATTCTCCCCTTCTCCCCTTCCCCCTGCCAGTCTTTTCAAGAATAACTTCAGGAGATAATGTTCTATAGAGAGTGTCGGTACATTTCAGGTGACACAAATGGTGAAGGCATTTTATAGAAACGTGGCTTGTCACCATCGGACTGTTGACAGATCCATTAGTGCACCCTTTTCAATTTTCACTTTCCCCTCTTCGGTCTTACGGATTTCTCCAGACCTGATACTTTGCAGTTGTGCTCAGAGGAGCTTCTTTTGTAATTGAAACTCTAGCATTGTTCAGCTCAGACAGGACTTGGTCTTCTGCACAGCTCCCAGCTTCCTTTCTTGAACTAATGTAGGATTTGGCTTCATCTGACCTCTCTCACTGCAATAGGAAATATTTCCTTGGCTCTCTTGTCCCCCTTCTGCCCGCCCCCTCCCCTTTATATGGCAACATATCTATGTGGCTCCCCCGATACGGCTAATACAGACATCTCAAGTTTCATTTCTGCTATGAAATCGAGGCAGTTCCCAACAAAGATCCAATTTTCAAATGTACTGGGTTGCCACCTGGCCTCCTTTCGCTGCATAGCAATGGTGACCTCACAGATATAATCAAGAACCCAATCTTGCCCTCTGTGCCCTCGCCTTGGGTTTGAATTGCAAATAGAAAATGTGGGGCCGACCTGTGGGGAGGTCACCGTGGTGTATGGAGGGTCCATCTCTAATATGACTGAGCAGGGCCCCTTCTCCACCCCTTGTTCATTTGTGCTGCCGATTTGCAAAGCATCTGAAGCAGGAGCTTTCAGGGTATCCATGTGACCACTGGCAAATAATTGTCATAGATTCTATAGTGTGGCTTTATTCCATACCTGCTCTGCTTCAGCCCAACCACAAAAAAAGGAGGATGGGTAACATATTTCTCTGGATAAATGGAGCACGGTGGTCAAGTTCTTCTACAGCTTGGCCTCCTTTGAAGCCTGACTTGCTCAAAATTAGGAAGAAGAGAAATGGTAAAGATGCTACCAAGGCATTGCTTTCTAAAGGGAGAGTAGAGCCCTCTCCTCCTAAGCCTCTCCCGCCAGACCTGGCCTGCAGAGGACGGCAGCCTGGCGGGCTGGCAGTTGTCAGCAGCCCGTGCAAGGCCAGCTACAGAATGCCCTGTTTTAAAAGCAGTGGCTGCACAGGCGCTCCCCCTCGCCTGAAGGGAACATTAAGATATTCCCTTAAGTTTGCTTTTTTTTGTTTTGTTTTTGTTTTGTTTTTTTGCCTATGGGGGAATACCTGAAAAATTACCTTTTTCTTCAGTGTCAAAATGATTTCATTAAATGGGCCCATTTAACAGCCCCTTTTAAAATTTCTAAATCTTTGATTGTTAAAAGATTCATCGAGCTCGTTGACTCGGTTTCTCTGATTAAAAGGAGCAGAGTCACTGTTGGGTTAGCAAAGGCTTGAGTCCCTGGCCAGATGTCCCCTAGTGTGTTGAGGGGAGTGAGTAAGCCCGTGCCAGGCAGGGACATCTAGGTAGATTCTTGTCAAACAGACTTTTTCACACCTTAACACACTGCTGTGAGCTCCCAGCCTCCAGACACCTAAAATATGCTGCAGACTCAATCACAGAAGCTCCAACTTTGGATCCTATTTTGATGTCAGTATTTGTATTTTAATTTGCATTTGCTGAAGTGTGAAGTAGACTGGAAAAGAAGGGTGCTGTCCGAATCTGAAAATGGAAACCAGGGACCTGAGTCAGAGATGGTACGGTCCCACACTCCTGCAGTTCTTTGAACCCCCACACTGTGGTGTGGTATTTGGGCTCCTAAGGCAGACAAGCTAGATTCCAATGTGCTGGTTTTATAAGATACTGTGTGACCTTGAGTAACTTACTTGATCTCTCTGAACCTAGTTCTTCTCATCCATAAACTAGGAGAAATAGAGATTTTTACTGGATGACTCTAAGGATTAGAAGGAGGAATGGGTTTAAACAGCAACACTTAGTAGCCACTCAGTAAATTAGAGTTTCCATCTTGTTTATGTTCTCATATCCCGCATCTGGAGTAGCCAATGTGTCCAAACCCCGTGTGCACATACCCCAAGAACATGGTCAGCATGGGACCTCCCTTTCGGCCATCCACACAGCCACCAGAGAAGTCTTTCTAGAACACGGCTCAGGCCAAGTCACTCCCCTTGTTGAAACCTTTCATACCTTCCACCTCCTTGGAGTGGCCACCCCTCCTTAGCCAGGCTGTGCTTTCTAGCTCCCCAGGGCTGGGAACGCTCTACTCATATCTTTGCCTCGTGAAGTCATATCCTCGGCTTTTTCCGTGCCCAGCCGCCACCCTACGCCTACCGAAGACCGCTGAGGGCCCCCTTCCTCCTCTAGGTTTCCTGCCTCCTGGCTTCTCATGGGTGCTCTGTCCAAGGACTTACCAAATGCTGTCCCTGCCTTCTCCACAGCAGGTAGAGATTAGATCTCAGACATGAGTTTTGATCCAGCAAATTCTTAGAGAAGGGATAGGAACTGAATTATTTCCTAACCCCTTTGCTTTCCCAGGGGATGGGAACTTGCAGGAACCCAGGGCTGTGTACAGGGCCGCCGGGCCCCTGGGAAGAGATGTGCCACCCAGTGGTGACCTCTGATCTGTAGCTCTGTCTAGTGTCTTCCTTCTCTGTGACCCTTCAGAAGGAACAGATTTATCCCTCCTGTCGGCTTCTTGGTTTTCCTTTTTTAAAGTGACATTGTGACAGTATTTTTTCTTTCCATTTGTAAACAGAAAGCATGTTCATTGAAGAAAACTCAACAAATCAGACAAACAAAAAGATAATTATCTCATTTTGTAACCTACATTTTTCACTTACTATATGCTAAACATTTCCCAGACCACTAACTTTCTTCCACATGTCATTGTTGAAATAGGCATGTAAAATTTTATCTGAGGAACACAGATACGTTACTTAGTCAATCCCATTGTTAGACAATAAAGTTCCCGTTTTTTCTAGGCAAATATCTTCATAGATAAAACCTTGTAGGAATTATTTCATCAGGATAAATTTCTGGAAATGAAATTAATGAGCCAAAGGACATGCACCTCTGACGGTTTTGATATAAATCGCAAATTTGCTTTCCCAATTCTCAGACAAGAAGGGTCCGAGACTGCCTTTTTCCCACACCCATATCGGCCTCTCCGTTAGCTCTTAGCGCACAATTTCTTTCCTCATGGGTACCAAGACATTCTGTTACTGGGTCCCTACTCTGTGTAAGACCTCTGCTAACAGATACAGGACAGGATGTAAACTGGCCCTATTTCTTGACTGGGGCTCCTCCCACTCTCATCTCTCCTGGGAGGAAGCAGTTGTCCTTCTCCAGGTAGAAGGAATAGTGCAGAGGTTAATAAATTCATGGGGATATAGCCTTGAGACGTTGCGAGAAGTCTTTCATACCTTTGGGTCTTCTAACTAAATAAAATTAATGTACTGCACTACTTTTTTGATGCACAGGCACGTTTGTATGTTGGACACATTTGCCTCCCAAATCTGTGACTCAACTATACAAAGATTTATTGGAGAGGATGTAGTATGTTCAAGGCTTTGGGCTGAGAACCCAAACCACAAGGGATAAGAAGATAAATAAGCGCCCAGCTATCCTAAGGCATGGCAGCATAGAGTCATGTAAGAAAAGGGGTTTCTGAGAAGATCACAGCTGATGACTTGCTGAGCACCTCCTGATCTCAGAGAACCTCCACTGGTGCTATTTTTAAGGTTGATAGGGTTTAAATGCCAGAAATCACATAGTTCTGGGTTCTCCCACTTACTAGCTGTGTAGCCTTAGGGAAGTTGCCCTCTGAGCCCTGTTCTCTCACCTGTAAAAGCATGATATTCCTATTACCTCTCCGTTGTTGTGGAAACCAAGTGTGATAGTGAAGGTCAAGGGGCTGGAAAAGTGCCTGCCAGTAGGAGGCGCTCGCCACAGGGCAGCTCTTTTTAGATGGTGTGCTTCCCATTTTGCAGGAATAAGGATCTAACATTCAGTTTGCACAGTATTGTAACATTTTTCAAAGCTTCCTCACATCTCATCTCATTTAACCCATTGTCCCAGTGGCTTTGAAGTTTCCCAAGCAGGAGGTGGTCTCCCCATTGTAAAAATAAGAAATAGGTTGCAGAGAGGTTGAGTGAATTGCAAAGATCAGACAGCTAGTAGGTGGTAAAAAAACAAAACTAGGAGATGGTGTTTTTACCTTAAGCTTAAACTAAGACATTTCCCCCAAAACTACCATATACCTTTTTTTTAAAGAGCTATTACCATAGAGTGTTCATCACCATCAGTAGTTTCTTACCATGTTCCTGCTCCATTTATTTTTTTTTCTTGTTTTGAGCCAATCTCTCACACACACTTGAAATATTTTTCCTGAACAAAAGTAATTTTTTTTTTTTTTTTTTTTTTTACTGTTTGGCTTTACTCCACCTCTTTTTTCTGCCCTCTAAGTAACCCCACTGAATCCAAAATGCCCCTTTAACCCTTTGTTACTTTCTGGCATAGAAGGAGCCCCTCCCCCACTTTGTTCCACTTGACCTGAGCACCTTAGGGCAGCCCCTTTCCAAAAGAGCCATTTCCAATTGGCTGTCGGCAACCTCTCTCATCACTGAGCCTCAGCCAGGTCAGGGTTTGTGGGCCACTTGATGTGAGCCCTGCCTGCAAACCAAGAGGTCCTCATCCCCCTGTGTTGTAACTAAGTAGTATAGACTCTGTAGCTGGGCAAGTGGGGTTGACTTAACAGACACATACACACACACACACAGAAATTCCTGAAGTTTATTGGGAACCACGTACAGTCCATTGTTAATGCTCTGCACACTTTTATGTTACGTTACCCTTTATACCTCACAGCTACCGTATCCCCATTTTACAGATGAGGAGACCGAAGCTCACAGGTGTTACATACGTTTCCTCCTTAAAGCATTATTATGCAGTTAAGGCCCACTTTTCTCCGTGGGCCACCAGGCTGTACTGGGCTGAGATGTTAAGAGTAACCAATGGTTAAACCCTTATATGCAGAATTTAGTAAGTGCTAAAGGTGTATGTTTTGTTAACCAAAGTGTGTATTAGTTTTTGCAATTAAAAGAATTGAAAATTGTATTTATTATTTCTATGAGGTTTTTTCACTTGGTGAAAAAATAATGATTTAAATGCATTTTATTTGTGTATTTATTCTCTGCCTTGCTTTAGTGAAGATTTCAACAATTTCATGACTCAAATGAAGCATGTGGTTCTCATTGCACAAGTGAGCCCCACCCACACACCCGTGTGTCCAGTCATCTGCCAGCAGCGGCCAAAGGAGCCTTTACCTGCCTTCTGCACATTGAGGCTTTTCCTTTCCCTAGAATTTGACTTCATTCATCAGACGCCCAAATTAAACATAAATTTCTAAATTTAAAAATATTACCTTGGCACCCTGAATTTTCTCCAAGTCGTAGAATCCTAACTCAGATTTCAGTCTCTTCATTCTCTGCCAGGAAGATCAGGACTAAGGAAGAGGGAGCACGAACACGTCGTTCTCACAAACAGCCGCGTCCCCAGTAACAGCTGTGGGGGAAACGGCCCAGTCCCGAATAATCAAAGTAATGCAGATTAAAGCAACCAGGAGGTCTCATTTTTCACCTCTCACATTAGCGATGCATTTTTTAAACGATGAGGCTAACAAGTGCTGTGAAACTTGTAACGCATCCATTGCTGGTAGTGTGTGAATTGGAAAGCAAATTGGTAGAATGAGTAAAAAGCCTTAAAAATGGTTATATCTTTTGACCCAGTAATTTCATTCCTAAGGATTTCCATTAAAGAAATAATTCAAAAGAAAGAAAAATTGCAGTGTTTACCACGGTGGTGTTTAGAGGGAAAGGTAACAACCTAAATGCTTGATAGTAGTAGAATGGTTTATTAAATTATTGTATAGCCATTTAATGAAATATTATGCATCCATTAAAATAATCATTGTAATGACTATGCAACACCATGGAGATGCTTTTAATATAGTAGGAAAAAATAGGATGTAAAATTATGCACGAGCTGTGATTGCAAGTAATTTTTAAATGTCTGCATGTGGCCAAGTGAATATGTAAAAATGAAAATAGCCCTGCAAAGTAGAAAGATGAAAGGGTTTTTTCCCCCCCAGTATTGTGAATTATTATGTTGTCTTTGTAACTTAATGTGTATGGTTTAGGTTTCTCTAGTCCTTAAGAGTCAAACAGCCACATTATCCTTCCAGCCCCTTCACCTCTAGCAGGAGGATAGGCTTGAAATGTCCCAGAGGGAGTTCCATGGCCTGGTGCTTAGCCTTGGGGTTGGAGGGAGCACCTTTGCTCATGGCAGGTGCCAAGACCTGACACCAGCCCCTGTGGCTTTCCCCTGCAGGACATCGCTGAGAATGGCTGTGCCCCCACCTTAGAAGAGCAGCTACCAAAGACTGCACCATCCCCGCTGGTGGAGGCCAAGGACCCTAAGTTCCGAGAAGACCGAAGGCCAATCACAGTCCACTTTGGACAGGTATGTACCCTGGCCCTTTAACTGTTCTGGGTTTGCTTTGCTTTGCTTTTCAGCAGAGGCTGTGGCACATGAAGCCGTCCCTTTTTTCATTTCAGCTCTCTTTGTCAAAATAACTCCATGGAGTTTACACGTCTTCAGATGTTTATTTGGTGCAAACATGTTTTGAATGTGAATTTTCAAAAATTTTGAGGAGGCAGCGTGGCTCTGGTCATAAACTAGCTGAACTCTTGAATGAAGTCATTAAATGCAGCTGCTGCCTCCCCCACCCCAAGGCACTCTGTTTAAGGTGCCTCTGTTAGCTAAGCATCTCATTAGAACACTTTAGCATCCCAGGCCCTTCTTTGCACCTTCAAATAAAAGGCAACAAGCGAAGTCTTAAAAAAATCAATTAGGAGTTCTTTATTAATGTACTTCCTGAAAATCAATATCGGGAGTCGTGCTTCTCAGAGTAAACACCCACACTACGGTTCTAGAGATCCGATTCTTTAACCAACTGTTTCGACGACCTGAGCATTTGAAAAATTGTCTGTTTGATTTTTTTTTCTCTTAAGTAAAACATTGTACTCTGTATAGAAACTGAAATTTTTTTACCCATTTCTTATCGGTAATTACATTTTTGGTTGAAAAAGATTGCATACTCCCCCTTCTCTTGAACTGACTCTCTTGATTAAACAAAAGTCGTAATTTCTTGGTTTATAAGAAATGGCTTTGTTGGCAAGATATGACTGTAGTAAGAATCTGCAAGGTTATTTACTCTGAAATCACTGGATTCTTTAGCCATTTATTAGATGAAGCATAATTAAAATAGTCTTTAAGATTTTATTTTAAATATGAGTACAGTGTTTTCACATAAAGGAGCCAGAAGCATACATTTAAAAAGTTTGTTTTCAGCAGACATTTATCAGGTGCCTACTATGTACCAGCCATAGAGCTATTTAGAAATGAAGAGAACTAATGGAATTGTTGCTGTGAGTTAAGATTGTAAGGTGTGAGGTTGTTAAAACATAAGAATCTTCCTCTGTAATCAATATTTTTAGATTATACACTCATACATGTTAAACTTGGAGAGGTTCATCCCCCCTTTTCTGATTTTACACTTAAAAGGCATGTCATAAAAATTGAAATATAGCATAAGAAAGAAGCATCCACGGGGCAGTGCTCATTTGCTTAATGATGATCTTCAAACCGTGTTGGCGTTTGCGCCCTGAAGAGCTGCCTCCTCACAGCCCAGGCCCTGCTGGAGAAACCTGCGCCCCAGTTCCGGGCTGGGTTTGCTGAAAGCCCAGCCCCCGTGGTCGCCTGCGCGGCATTCCAGAGCCAGCTTCCTGCCTTCCTTTGTCCTCGTTCCTGCACACACGAACCTTCCCATGAAAAGAGCCCCTCGCTGGAGTTTGGAGCCCATTACAGAGAAAGAGGGGGCGGGGGAGAGGGACTTCATGGTGTTAAACATTCCATTTTCGAAACACAAAAAAGGAGGCCCTATTTGAAATGGAGAAAGACCTTCTTTCCATTTCAGCAAGAAGTAGAGATGCTTTAATGTCATTCCCAGCTAAATGCAGAATAAGAGTGTGTGTGTGCGGGTGGGGGATAAACAATTAAAAAAGCCACCCCAAACTCTGTTGAAATAAGAGCTGTCTGTGCCTTCACAGGTCCGTAAACTGGAGAGGATGAAAGTGGCTTTTTTCCCGTTTGTCACTTCCCTCACGTGGCTGCCAGCATTATGCAAGTGTACAGGAAGGCAGGGTTTTTTAATGCATGCATGCGGATTAAGGTCAAGCCCCGAGTATCAGCCATGCAGCGGGCTTTCCCTTACAGCTGCAGCCGCCGAGCCTACCCGCAGCCGCGAGATGCCTTAATTGAGACGTGCTGTCAAAGTGACAAACACATTTGCATACAGTCTACACTCTATTTATTTTCTCTGGAAAGGTCTACAGTCTGCTGTTGGTTGAACATTCCTAATCAGTTTGCTGTAAGTGAACTGCCGGCTAGCTCACTGGTGCCGCCGCTTCTTCGTTAGCTGACGGATTAGCTGCTGGGGGGATGGGCCGGGGAACCGCAGGCCCTTTCTTTTCACTCTTTCCAGCTTTGCCCCCAGAGAGGCTGTCCTTCAGTCCTTCCCCAGGCGCCTGGTTGGACCGGCCCTGGACCTAAACATGCAGCATCTCAAGAGCACCTACTACCGGCAGGCGTGAGTTTTAGGGACATCACATTCTTCTCAAAGAAGTCTTTCAGGTTCCATTTCAAAAATTTTGCCACACTCTTCTACTACCTGTACTACTTTTTGATTTGATATTTTCCTTTATATAGACCGAGACCTAACCTTAGCCTCATCTTAAGCAATGACATTAGCAAAATCATAGGGACAATATACTAGCCCAAGTTTTTTCTAAGGCATATCAAAAAATATTTAAGTGCGCACCCATGTATCACCTACTTTATGGTATCAGCTGTACACTGTGGTCTCAGAGTTAGAGCTCAGAGACCTGAAGAGACCTGCCCAGGGCCACATCACCAGTACAGAAACCAGGACAGTCTGACTGCCGCTCCCCACCAAGCAGAGACTTCAGCTCTTTGGTGTGTCTGGTAAAGCGCATGTGTCCTAGCAAAATCATTCGAACTGGCCAGACAGTGCACGCTAACCTCAAAAAGACCCCTGCCTTGAGTGTGCATTTCTGCAGGGTTTATTCTTTAAGAACACTTAGCTGTCCGTGCGGACAGAGACCGTTGAGACTGTTGCACCAGTCCCTCCACCTCACAGAGCCAGTGCCCATGTAGCCAGCCAGAGGCGCTCCGCACAGACAGTAGGCAGGGTGGCAGGGAGCCCCCAGCCAGCAGCTCTGTGAGGAGCGGCGAGAGGGGAGCCTCTGCCAGGGAGGGAACGTGCTCGCTTGCCCCTCTCTGCCTCACTGGAGCTTCCTCCTTCAAGGCTATAACATTCCTCCATTAATTCTGCATCCATTCATCCATGTATTGAGGCCTACTGTATATTTTTTAAAAATGTAATTCCTTGTGGGGAAGAAAGAGGGAGACAGACCAGCAAATGGACCGCCTCACCCCAGAGCGAGAGAGGTGACCGCAGAGCACTCTGGGGGCCCCACAGAGGCACCTTCTTCACCCCCAGGACCAAGGTGCCAAGATATTTGGTCAACATATTGAATAATTCATTTGTTTTCTAAAGTGGACGTACGTAACTTTACTCAGAGCTGGTGATGAACCACATTAGTGGTTCTACAATAAGAGCAAAACAGATGGATTTTGAGTTATCCCCTGAACCTTTATCAGCTGGTTTATTTAAAGAGTTCAAAATCTCAAGTAACTTGAGAATGCTTATCCCTACCTTGGAAAATGGTTAGGTTTAGAGAGGCTTTGAGTAACTCTTTTTTCCACCTTTCAAGTTCAGAATCACGAGATAAGGCCCAAGAGACCATCAAACAGGATAAGAGTGCCAGCTTCTTCACTGAAAGGCAGGTACTGCTTTAGACTTGAGACCAAACGGGCTTGCTCAGACTTCCCATCAGAACTGGGGAGATGGAGCTACTCCGCCAGGAGGAGGGGACAGTTGCTGGCCGCGCCCAAGCGGGAGTCGGAAGGGTGTGCTCTTGGTTCACACACTGACCTCGTAATAGGGGACAGGGAGAGCGCAAAGAGGAAGGAGGCCTCTCCAGCCTGGCAGGTGGCAGGGTGAGGAAGCAAGGGAACTCACTTATGAGGCCTGTCTTGGGCATGCACGAAAAGAATAGTTCTCCACACCCACCGCCAGAATCTTAAAAGTTTGTGTGGAGGCCCTAACAGGGTTTGGTCGCATATACCACCCAGATGATCTCTTAAGGCCACGTCCTTGAAAATGGCTCCCACTGTGGGAATGGCAGGGGAAGCGCACATTCCAAGGACAGGGAAGCGGGCAGGCGGGGGGGGGGGGGGCGCTTGAGGAGCCTCCCATAACCCAGGTCCAGGTCTCTGGTCAGCTGGCAGTCACGTCCTCTCAGTGACCTCCCCCCATGCCGGAGCAGGCTTACCTTGTCCCAAGGAACTCCTCCAAGGAAGGACTCCTCCTCCTCTGGGCAGGAGTGAGCAAGAGGGCACAGAGAGAAGCCAAGCATTTCCCAGGCTTTCCCCTCCTGGCACGGGGGCAGATGGTCCCTCCTTCCTGTGGCTGTGGAAGGAACGAGGAAGCAGTGTCCTCCCCCGCAGGGCCTGGGCACCCCGCTGGAAGCTGCTCTGCTTCCTGCATTGAGCAAGATGAAGGGACCGCTAGGTGCTTTCACGTGTCTGCTCATTGTATTGACTCTTCACCATCAGCTGGGAAGGAAGCAGGCTCGGGAGACATTTGCTTGAATTAGTGTCTAATTCACACTCCACAGCCAGCAAGCCCCTCTGCTTCTCGGCAGTGCGCAGCTGCCCCTCCCTGGCTGGGGACCTGGGCGGGCCGTGGGCCTTGGCCAGGGCCTGGGCGCTCCGGCAGGCGGGAGGACGGGCCCCCTTGAGAACACCAAGCAGACCGCCCCAAGAGCGCCTCGGTTGCGTTTCCCCCAGCTGATTGATCCTGCAGACAAGGTAGTTAGTTGCCTGCCTTCCAATCTGATAGATTCTGAAAAGTGGGTTCCTCTATTCTCCTAGTTGAGCAAAGGTTCCTAAACCTCTTTAACGTCCAGTGTGAAAAGCCAGTCAAACCAAAGCCCAAACCAAACAGTACCAGACACCGGGCACTCAGTGGCCTGGAGATTCTCCTAGTAGCAGCTCCTGGGATGTGGTGTCCCGCTTGTCTCTGCACCTGGAGAGTCCTGGAGAGCATGAGCCAGGCCAGGCAGTGCCCACCGCGCTCCAGGCTGGAAAAGCCGGCCAGCCAGGGAATGCTGAGAAGGCTCTGAGTGCCCTGAGAAATCCCTGCCGCCCCGTTGAACTTGGAAGTCACACGCGATTCCCTTTATTTTGGCCATTGCCTCCCAAGCACCTCAGACCCCTCGGACCACAGGCCTACAGTCTGAACAGACACTCCCCGC